CTGTTTTCCTTGTTTACAGCGCATGGCGCACACAGCGCCCGTCTTCTGAGCAGGAGTCCCGTGACCACTGACAGTTCTTCAGTCCCAGTCGCTCCAGAGCTCCGTGCTGAAACCTCCGAAAGGGAATGGTTCCTGCTCTGCTGCATTGCTGGATATCATTGGTCAAGCGGGATGATCCTTTAAATACCTCTTGAAATTTGATCGTACTCTGTGCAACTATTCTTACAAGATTCAGGAACAGCTAGAAGATTAGTTGCATACGGCATTTTCTTGAAGTAATTTAACTATTTTTATTTTATATTCACTGGAGCCCTGATGGTGGCAAAGTGGTTACAGCAAAGTCAGCAGTTCAAAATCACCGGCCACTCAGAGGGAGAAAGACGAGGCTTTCTACTCTTATAAGGAGTGGCATTCTCGAAAATGTGCAGGGGCAGTTCAACCTTGCCCTGTAGGGTCGCTGTGAGTTTTGAGTTTTTTGTTTTTATTTTCTATTCAACTGTTTCTAATTGTAATTTGGATGAACATTTACAGAGTAAATGGATTTTCCACTCAATAGTTGGTACACATTTTGTTGTATGAAGATGCTTAAAATCCCCTCAATGTAGCAGCACTTTAACTACTTTGTAACCATTTCTGTTTGTCTTTCTTTTCTATCCCTTCTGAGCTTTATCCCTGGGCAAATGCTTATCTTTCTGATCTTGTACATTTGATTGTTATAAGGAACATTGTCCCTCTCCAATGTTATTGCCCAGCACCTGTACCTGCCTGTCATTTACCTGAAATTTCAGCCACCTGGTTGATTTCAGATCCAGGCCTGCAGGTGCCTGAGGGCCATATTCTTGCTACTTATTTTCAAACCTTGCATCAAAATTTAATTTATTTTCCTTTTTATTATGATTTAGGTTTCTCACCTAGAAAAGAGTTCATAATCATTTCATCCCAAGTGTTTAGACAGCTGTCCTAGTACCATTACTTCATAATTAATACTTTGATTTTAAATGCTCCGTAAACATTCTCATACATGCATTGAGCTCTGTATTTTGATTTTCTGGCAAGGCCTTTCTGGTTTAAATGTTGTGGTTTTATGATACCCATAACTCAGCAGTAGGCCAGCATCCCCACCCCTTGTTTATTTTTTCAAAATATTGCGAGATTAAACTGGAGAGGAATTTTATAGCATCTCTGCCATGTTTGAAGAAATTCGTTTGGCATCTTGACTGGCTTGTAAAGTGTTCCTGTAGCACCTAAGGCATTTGTCAGAGCACCTTTAAGACACAGTTGGCTGTAACCTGGCCTGTGAGTGCGGAGATGACGTGAGTGTTGGCTGGCTGGGAAGCTGTGTCAGAGATCTGGGTTTCTAGAATGAACCAGGGGACTTGGCCTCAGTTCGACTCATAATGAATATTTGTGGACTTAAGCTGTTTTTGTGTTACAATCTATAGCTTCCCTAGGAATGGGATTGAGGGTCAGAGCAAGTGAGCGTCCATCCTTCCAGCCTCTAAAATGTGCTCAGATTTGGCGGGTGGAAGGTCTCTGTCAACGAGCGAGAAGCAGGGAGCAGAGGAAGCTGCAATAGACAGGTTGTGTGATAGAGACGCAGTGAGATTGAGAGGCCCGCTTGGCTGAATGTGGACTGCTGCGATGCTGCTCGGTGCCCACCCACCCCAGCAGCAAGCTGCCCTTTATAAACTGGTATTGAAATGGATTAACTTGTCATCAAATGACTGTTGAGGGGCTCTCGTGTGTGTGTGTGTGTGTGTGTGTGTGTGTGTGTGTGTGTGTGTGTGTGTGTGTGTGTGTGTGAGAGAGAGAGAGAGAGAGAGAGGTGTTGTTGGGTAAAGAAGAGGGACAGGTGGCAGGGACTTGTCTCACCGAGAGTAGCATCCCAGTCGAGATCAGAGGTCTGCAAGCAAACGCTGGTGGAGTAGCTGGGGCATCGCATAGCCAGCTGTCAGTGACGGGGTTCCACCTCCAGCTGGGTGAAGGGTGCCTGGCTTCTGTCATTCTTTGCACTGACACCTTATGCCAGGACACCGAAACACAGCAGAGGACTGTCGTACCAAGACGACATCAGCCTTCCTCTTGTCT